TTGAGTATTATAGCCCCGTTCCCCCATTTATCACTTCTCTATGTTCATTTGTGGTTGTGTGACTTGCTGGGGTAGTTGGTTTGGTTCTGGAGATGTTTTAGAGTGAATTGGGACACTTAGTTCCAAGGTTGAAAACATAAGTTGAAAGAGTTGACTTTTGTGTAGACGCATCTGGAATGGAGTTTTGATGGTTCCGATAGCTTCGTATGATAATTTTGGACTTAGGAGTATGTCCGGATATTGATTTGGAGGTCCGTAGGTCGTTTTGGCTTGAATTGGCGAAAGTTAGAAAGTTGAAGGTTTGGAAGATTGAGAGGTTTGACCGAGAGTTGACTTTGTTGATAGCAGGCTCGGAGTTCGGATCCGAGAGTTAGGACAGGGCCGTTGTGTCATTTATGACTTGTGTGCAAAATTTGAGATCAATCGGAGTTGGTTTGATATGTTTCAGCGTTGGTTTTAGAAGTGGGAAATTTATTAGTTCCGTTAGGCTTGAATTGCTGCGATTCGTGATTTTGATGTTGTTTGATGTGATTCAAGGCTTCTACTAAGTTCGTATTATATTTTAGGATGTGTTAGTATGTTTGGATAGGGTTCCGGGGGCCTCGGGTGTGATTCTAATTGAAATCGGATTGAGATTTGGACTTAAGGAAATGCTGATGGCTTCAGGTCTGGTGTAATAGCACCTGCGTGATTTTGGCCGCAGGTGCGAGACCGCAGAAGCGGCCACGGGGTCGCAGAAGTGGTTTTTGGTTGGAGCTAGGAAGATGCGCAAGTGCGAGAAATATTCCACACCCACGAGCTCGCAGGTGCGGGCAGCGAAGCGCAAAAACGAAGAGGAGAGGAGGCATGGGTTTTTGCAGATGCAGTGATGAGGGCGCAGGTGCGCATGCGCAAAAGCAATGTTAGCCGGAATGTCTGCAACCGCAGAAGCGGAGGCTTAAGCACAGGTGCGCTTCCACAGGTGCGAGGTATTCTTCCGCAAAAGCGGATGGTCGGGGAGTTAATGAAATACCGCACCTGCAATGGTTTGTCCGTAGATGCGGTGCCGCAATTGCGGTGTCCAGAAGGGGTTCTGAGTTGGTCGTCCTCGACTCTAATCTTTGACCGGTACCTGTTGTGAACGTCGGCCCAAGTTACCTCCGGGTACTCTACCAAATTTTGTTTTAGCTGCTATGAAGCCAAGGAGCTTCGAGGGTTAAGTCCTTGAGTAAATTCCTGAACGGCCCAATCATCCGCGACCGGAGGCATGTCCATCCGTTCCATCTGGAACCTCGACACAAACTCCCTGAGCATCTCGTCGTCCCTTTGTTTAACCTTGAAAAGGTCCGGCTTTCTGGTCTCGACCTTGATGGCCTCGGCATGGGCCCTTCACGAAAGCATCTGCAAGCATAGCAAACGAGTCAATGGAATTTGGGGGGTAGGTTGTGATACCATATCATTGTTCCTTTGGACAAAGTTTCCCCAAACTTCTTCAGTAACACCGACTCGATCTCATCATCTTCCAAGTCGTTCCCTTTGATTATGTATGCATAAGAGGTCACATGCTCATTCGGATCCATGGTTCCGTTATATTTTTGGATGTCGAGCATACGAAACCTCTTAGGGAGCTGCTTCGGTGTCACGCTCGGAGAAAAAGGCTTCTGGATAAACTTCTTGGAATCCGGCCCCTTGAATATTGAGGGTGCTCCCGGGATTTGATCAACCCTGGAATTGTATGTTTCCACCTTTTTGTCATTAGCCTCAATTTTCTTTTTATCTGATTCCACCCATTTTGTTAATGCTTCAAGCATTTTCATTATTTTGGGATTGACCCCGGACTCAGCTTCACCCGGTCTCTCGGTGATCTGCTAATTCCTTCAGATATTCTCCCGGGATGGTTCGGGTTCAACTCTGCTGAGGGCGTGGCTTTGATTGTGCAGCAGCGCAATCGCCGCATGTTGAGCCTCCAACATTTTGAAGATTAACTGTAGGCTAACCCCATCGCCTTCGGGCAGTTCTCGAGCCGTTAGTCGGGGTCCCCGCGAATGCTGTTTTCGGGATAAGTTGGCAGGTTGACATTGATGGCTACCTGTAAGTTAGCATCGACCGAATTGGCAACCGGGACCCCGTTGGGATCAGCAGGAGGCACCTCGTTGCTAGGCACCAAATTGTTGTTTTCGCCATGATGGACAGACTCAGCGTCAACGTTCAAGTAGGCAGACTAAGAATTTGACATTTTAAATTTGACCTGAAATTAAGAGTTTAAAGAACAAGCATAAAATAGAGTGTTATGGAGATTTCTATCAAATCACCACTATTATCCTTAGCCCCACGATGGGAACCAAACTTTTGCCCTTAGAACGGATAACAATTAAATTTGTACGCGGTATTAAGGATATGAAGATTGATTCAACAAAAATAATCGAGAATATTAGATAAACAAGTTAAAGATAAAATGAATAACCAAACCAATTACAGTGTTACGGCATGTCTTTAACTTAGGTTGAACAGTAGCTTCGCCCTTGATCGGACCCTTGGTTCGAAGCCAATTGTGTATGAAGAACAACAATGAAGTAAGAATTTTTTAATAGCTAGAAAACAGAAAAACGAATTTGTATTGCCTTGGTTTGCGTGTTACAAAGTGTGTTTTCAAAGAAAAACTTCTCCTTTATATAGTAGGAGAGTTTCATCCCTTGTACAAGTCTAAAAAAGGTAAAAATCTCCCTTTCTCGCTCGACATCGGGTGAGATCTGCACCGTGATATCCTGTTAGGTACGGATATCACGACCCTCGATTAGTCGTGCGTAACCGTTTGTCATATCTCCCGAGGTACTAGAGCTCGTTCCAGGTCCGGAGAGCGTTGCCTTATCACGCCCGACGATGAGCCCATTGTTCATCTTTCATGGGTCTCGGTACAAAAGGCTCCCAGCCTCGATTTCAACCTCGTGTGTTCATGCCCTCCTTCTGTCTTCTTCACCGGGAAATCGGGGCATGCATTGCCCCCGATTTTACCCGTATACATATTAATATTTATAAATGGTAGAATGTTAATTTGATGGCAATGAACCTCCCCTTTTTTAAAGATTATTGTATGGGTCAAAATCTAATCGAAGGGACCCGCCTGAAATAGGGAAATCAAGAATCAATTAGGCCAAGGTCATGCTTAAGAAGCAACATTAGCGAGCCGAGCAGCGAATGTCGAGGCCGAGCATTCAGATCGGCCAAAATGGCTAGCAATAAGATATTTCTAATGAATATTCAGAGGAATATTCTCAGTATTTGCATTTTTAGTAGGTAAGGGGAATGTCCCATATAAGTAAGAATAGAGAGAGAAAGAAGGGGATCTAATTTTTCAACGTTGATAAGCTCTCTCTAGAAAAGTTGACTCCCACATAACTACAAACTTTATCTTTATACAAGATTGGATTTACTGCGTTTTTTCGAGCTTTCCCACGTCATATCCGATAAAGTACTTGATATTCCCACGTTTGGTTATCTTACATCATTGTCAGAGGGAGAATCATCCACCTCGTTATACATTTGGGTGAATTATTCTCTTTATTTACAGCTATTGCCGTTCATCATATTTATTGTTTGTCTTCAATCCCTAATTTACTCACAAAAATATCATTAAATCTCCTTTTGTCTTTTAATATCTTTGAATGCAGTTTCTAGGAAATTATTACCCATCAATCTTGGATCTAGAACTTATTATATTTAACTAGAATTAACCTATTATCATTTATTTAATTATTTTAACAAAAAGGTTTAAGACTTTTTGGTCAAACAATTATCCAACCCCATTTCAAATTTTTTTTTCGTCGGAAAATAACGATCAGGGTTTTCTTTTGCAAAGACCACAGTTGATCTGATTGTAAATGTACTCAGTGCTATTTTTCGTGCGGGGAATTTTGCCTTTTGGTACGGTGAGCAGATGAATTAACGAGCAATGACATTAATTTTGTCATATAATTCAGAAATGAATAATTATCAAACACTCTAGGCTGCTTATCTACAATAATGGCCCAAATGGAACAAGAATTAACCTATTATCATTTATTTAATTATTTTAACAAAAAGGTTTAAGACTTTTAGGTCAAACAATTTGGCGCCGTCTGTGGGGATTTTCTAGTTAAAGTTTTAGTTTTTTCTAGATTTAAAAAAAACACACAAAACGCACAAAACTCTGCACAGTCTCGTATCTCGTTGTTTGCACAGATCTGACATGGCAGGAAATGGAGAAGAAAAGAGAAAGGCGATAGCCGATCGCACCGCCAATCTCCTAAACACTATCGACGAAGCTCCAGAAGAGGACGAGGAGAACGTGACACCAAGCGCCTCACCAAGGTGAAGTGATTCACCTCCTCCTCATGGTAGCGTTACCGCTTCTCATGGAAAGGGAGCCTCTACGTCCACCACGGAAAAAGCACCACCAGCGGTAAAAAAGCTACTAGAAGCATGGCTAACGAATACACTAAAGGGCATACTAGACAAACCCGCTCAAAGGGCGGGCAGGGACAGTGTGCGAGTCAACATCGCCACAATAACCAATGAGCAACACATCCAACCTCCCTCGACAGGTACCACTCACCCTGTTAATGATGCTGGTAACGACGCCCTCATTGCCATTTTTAGAAAAAAAGGAAGAGATGGAGAACGAGAATAAAACACTCCGCGACCAAATGAGGGAGCATCAAGAAAAGGTAGATAAGATACCGGGCACCCCAAAACTCCAACCAAAATGGGACGCCGACCGGTTTGTGGAACATCCATATAGAAACGATGCCGCGCCACATGCTATACCAAAAACATTCAAAATGCCGCCATATTTGAAAATATATGACAGTACGACGGACCCGGAGGATCATGTGACCCACTATGTCACTGCAGTGAAAGGCAACGACCTTGCAAAAGAACAAGTATCATCCATATTGCTGAAGAAGTTTGGAGAGACCCTAACCGGCGGGGCCCTAACTTGGTACTCGCAGTTACCTGCGCGCTCCATAGGAACGTTTGAAGAAATGGTTGACAAGTTCGTCATCGCCCATGCCGGGGCCAAGAAAGCGGAGGCAAGGATGAACGACATATTCGCCATTAAGCAATCTCTTGGCGAGGGACTCAAGGACTTCCTCTCCCGATTCAACCGTGTAAGAAAGACCCTTCTGAATGTAACTGAAGGAATGGCGGTGGCCGTTTTTCAGAATGGGCTAAGCAGAAGTGGGTCGAGGGCGACCAAAAACATACTGAGCCGAATCATGAAATACCGTCCAACCACTTGGGATAAGATACACAATGCCTACCGTGCCGAGGTAAGAGCCGACGAGGATGATTTCAACGGGCCTACTCAATGCCTGACCTCGGTCCAAACAGAGTCCAAGAAAGACCAAAGAAACGACAATAGAAGAGATCTAGCAGGGCCGCGACCTAATCAAGAAAGACATCAGCCTTACATCAAAGGCACTCTCATGCCACCTCCACGTCACGAAGAAGGTCCATCCAGGCCGCGAATAGGAACCCACCGAAATGAAAGAGGTATGTCCCCCTTGTTGTCAACTCAAAATTTTTGTGTTTCCCCCTCAGAAATAGTCTACGCATTGGAAAAGCTCGGCCTAAAGGTAAAATGGCCATAAAAGTTGAAGTCCAACCCAAGCATCAGAAAGTCAAACGCCCTCTGCAAATTCCACCAGGAATGGGGTCACAAGACCGATGACTGCATCTCCCTCAGACAAGAGGTCGTGAACATGCTTCACCAAAGGCACCTAAAAGAGTTGATGAGCGATCGAGGGAGGACCAACTTCGCCCGAGGGCGAGAAGAACATCATGGGCCGCCCAAACCATCTTCCCAGTTTGGACCATTCAAATGATCATCGGGGGAGGGGACGACGCATCTATCAACAGCGTGAAGTTCACCACCACTCACAAGCTCAAGCGTTCAATCACCCACGAACGGCACGACGAACTCGAAGAAAGTATCATCTTCGATAAGTCGGATACCCACGGTTTGGTCTTTCCTCACTATGATGCCCTTGTCATTACTTTATGTGTTTTTGATACTGATATAAGACGTATCATGGTCGATGATGGAAGCGGTGCATGCATCATCCACCCTCGAGTTCTCACCCAAATGAAGCTCGAGGACAGGGTAGTGCTACGTTGCATCACGCTAACAGGTTTTAACAATGACATTGAGCAGACATCTGGAGAAATCACGCTGCCTATCCTGGACGGCGGCGTCACCTTGGAGACCACGTTCCATATCATGGACCAGGATACGGCGTACAACGCCATCATAGGCCGACCATGGATACATGCAATGAAAGTCGTCCCCTCCAGTTTGTACGAAGTCATTAAATTTCCCACCCCTTGGGAAATCTTCTGCATCCGGGGAGAGCAACGCACAGCCCGAGAATGCTACTGCATCGCCCAAGATTGCACATACACACAACAATTGAAAGGAAAAGCCGAGGAAGCATAGCAATTAACGAAGCCAGGGTCGGATGGCGAGGAAATGAAAAACGTCATCAGTGACCTCGAAATCATAGAAGCCACGAGGTCAACCGTAGAGAACCTCGACCCCGTCCAAATAGACGATGACAACCACAACAAGAAAGCTTTTATCGGCCATAAACTCCAAGATCCAGGTAAATTTCATCAATTCTTAAAAAATAACGTGGACCTGTTTGCTTTTTCCCATGCAGACATGCCAGGTATCCCAAAGGAGATAGCAACTCACAGGTTGAACGTCGACCCATTTTACCCCCCAGTAAGACAAATCAGACGAAAGTTCAACTCTGCGATAAAAGATGCAGTACGTGAAGAAGTTGAGAAATTATTAGTGAACGGTTCCATCAGAGAATCGAAGTACCCTCAGTGGGTCACCAACGTAGTCATGGTGAAAAAGAAGAACGGTAAGTGGAGAATATGCATGGACTTCACTGACCTGAACAAAGCCTGTCCAAAAGACTCATTCCTGCTACCTCACATCGACCAACTCATCGACGCCACAGCCGGGCATGAACTGCTGAGTTTCTTGGACGCCTACTCGGGCTACAACTAAATCCTCATGGAGGAAGAGGACCAGGAAAAAACCACCTTCATCACCCATCAGGGGACGTTTTGCTACAGAGTGATGTCGTTCGGGTTAAAAAATGCGAGGGCGACGTACCAGCTGGTGACCAAAATGTTCAAAGATCAACTCAGCAAGAACATGGAAGTATATATAGACGACATGTTGGTCAAGTCAAAAAGAAAGGAAGACCATATCGACCACTTGAGGGAGGCCTTCGACCTACTCAGAAGGTACAGCATGAAATTAAACCCCGATAAATGTGCTTTCGGCGTGACATCTGGAAAATTCCTCGGCTTCTTGGTATCACAATGAGGCATCGAGGTCAATCCCGACCAAATCAAGGTCGTAGAAGGAATCCCAGAAAGTTTAACCAGCAAAAAACAAGTGCAAAAGCTAACCGACCGGATAGCCGCCTTGTCAAGATTCATTTCGCGGTCCTCTAATAGGTACCACAAATTTTTTGGCGTACTCAAAAAGGACAACGGACTCCAATGGAATGTCGAATGCATCAACGCCTTAAAAGAACTGAAGGCCTACCTGTCTTCACTACCGTTTCTCGCTAAGGTAGAACCCGGAGAACGACTCCTTGTCTACTTGGCAGGGTCCTATGTCGCAGTAAGTGCAGTCCTGGTACAAGAAAATAAGGGTATGCAATCTCTGATCTATTACATCAGCAAAACTTTGGTCGACGCTAAAACGAGGTACCCCCACCTCGAGAAGTTAGCTCTGGCCTTGTTCATAGCGTCATGGAAGCTTAGACCTTATTTCTAGTGCCACCATATCTCGGTGGTCACGACTTTTCCTTTAAGGAGTATCTTGCACAAACCCGAATTGTCAGGTAGACTGGCCAAGTGGGCCATAGAGTTGAGCGAGCACGATATAACCTATCAGCCGCGACCATCGATAAAGTCACAAGTTCTTGCCGACTTCAGTACGAAGATAATGTCCGAAGTGGAAAGGGAAATCGCCATTAGTTCTACCAAAGTACATGACCAATGGGTCTTGTACACCGATGGCGCTTCTAACGCATCAAGATCTGGAGTGGGACTCGTGCTCGAGGTTCCAACAGGTGAAGTGATTCACCAATCCATACGATGCCCTGATATGACTAAAAACAAGGCCAAGTATGAGGCCGTGATTGCAGGGTAAAAATTAGCACTCAAATACGAAGCACGGCGAGTCATCCTTCGATGCGACTCGCAACTCGTTGTCAATCAGGTCACAGGGACTTTCCAAATTAAGGAGCAACAGTTACAGAAATATCAGGCCGAGATTTGCAAACTATTACCCGAGTTCGACGAATTCCAGCTCGATCAAATGCTTCGAGCGCAGAACGTCGAAGCGGACGGCCTCGCCAAATCGACAGCGGCCACGAAAAGCATAACCAGAGAGGGGGACATGGTCACTCTCCTCCATTCATCGCTAGACCAAATTGAGGTACGCTCTATAAATCTAACTTGGGACTAGCGCAATTACATTATCTCATACTTGCAGGACGGAGTGCTCCCACCCGATAAAAAAGATGCCAAGAAGCTTCGAATGTAGGCGGCCAGGTACAGCGTCGTCAATAACGACTTGTACAAAAGAACATTTGGTGGCCCCCTAGCAAAGCGCTTAGGGCCATATCAAACACGGCGCGTCCTCTAAGAAGTACACGAGGGCCACTACGGAGCTCACACTGGCAACTGAGCTCTCGTCAGATGCCTCATACGGGCAGGATACTATTAGCCCACGATGAAGAAGGAAGTCGTCGACTTCGTCAAAAGGTGTGAGCAATGCCAAAGATACGCCCCCATGATTCACCAAGTGGGCGAACACCTTCATTCAGTCACTTCGCCATGGCCTTTCATCAAGTGGGGAATGGACATCGTCGGACCCCTTTCGGTGGGACGAGGTAATGTACGATTTATTTTAGTTTTAACTGACTATTTCTCCAAATGGGTAGAAGCATGTGCATTCGCCCAAATACGCGAACAAGAAGTAATCACGTTCATATGGAGAAACATCATATGTCGCTTCGGCATCCCCAAAGAAATTAGCTGCGACAACGGTCCCCAGTTCACTGGAAAAAAGACGACCGAGTTCTTCGAAAAATGGCACATCAAAAGAATACTCTCCACTCCATATCACCCCACAAGCAACAGTTAGGCGGAATCCTCTAACAAAACAATATTGAATATCATGAAAAAGAAACTCGAAAACACCAAGGGACTGTGGTCGGAAGTGCTACCAGAAGTGTTATGGGCATATCGCACCTCGCCAAAGACGAGCACAGGGGAAATGCCATACTCACTAGTCTATGGGACTGATGCAATGATACCAATTGAGGTCGAGGATCCTATCCTGAGATACTCAAATAAAAGCGGGCCAAGCAACGACGAGAAAAGAAGGCAAGACCTTGCTGAAGCCGAAGAGCGAAGAGATATGGCCTACATAAGAATGATAGCTCAAAAACATCAGGCAGAGCGGCACTACAACAAGAAAGCCAAAATCAGGCCACTCAAAGTCGGGGACTACGTACTCAAAGCCAAAATCCAACTCGTCTCTAAGGGACTGGGTTTTACCACCTGCTCTCAACCGTGCATGCATCTTACGGTACTTGTCACGAAAATGGACAAACTTTGAAGCCATCTTCTGAAAAATGACATTCCACCTCTCTTCTCAGCGGGCACTCTCGATCTCTAAAATGAAAGTCTAAAAAAGAAAAGAGAGTAAGAAGAAGACTAGTAAAGAAAAGAAAAAGATGCAAGTTGCAGAAACAATACAACAAACTTACCCTCAGAGCCATCTCGGATATGACAAGTGACAGGTCGGAGTCCCGGAGAGCCTGAAGGGTCTTGTTTTCATCAACAGAGCAAAGTGGAGCAAAGGAGGGGACCATGCTCACCGTATCCTCCAACAAATCGCAATCCAAAGGAATTACGATCCTGCGAGAGGATCCACCCGTTCTCACCTCCTGATCGGTGCCAACCCTGCACCACTATCGAGTGGCGAGAGCGGGTCGATGCAGCTTTTACCCGAATAGGTCGGGATCGAATCCACAGGGAGCTAGAAGTTGGAGTTGGTTTCCTATCCAAACTAGCAATGTGCACTACTCTTAATTGCACTTCCAATCATAGTTGGTTTTTTTGATTACTTCTAATATTATGCTAATAAGATGCTAAATTAAGCTAAGAGTAATTGCTAAAGGGGTTTCTAATAGGTTAAAGAGGCACTAGGGAAGTGACCCGCTCCTAGGTGGATATTTGACGGATTCTCAAGTCTAAGGCAAGGATGTTATGATGGGGATTACGATATAACCAATGCACGAAAGTTCTCACTCTATACCTCTCGGTAGTTTGAGTGATTTTGCCCAAATTGACTTTCTCAAGACCAATTGGGTATTACGATTGAGCAAGCAATTGAGGTTCAAGTCGGGTATTACTATCTCTAGGTTTAACCCTTTAATTGGGGCTATCAATCTCTTGAATACACCCCAATTCCTTGTTGGACCAATTTTCCTAGACTCAAGTTCTCTTTCTCAAGAAGAACTCAAGTCACAAAGGCACAAATTAGTGTTTGCAACCACTAATTCAACATGGAAAACATAATTTGGTCCAAATATCAAACACCCATACACATTCAAGCCTTAAAATTCAAGACCCATCAAATACTCACACTAGGGTTGAGCCACAACCCTAGCTAGTTGGTCTAGCTACTCATAATTAGGGAAGAAAACAAGAAATTAGATGAAGAAATAACCATAATAATTAATTACAAACTAAATTAATAGAGATTCAATGTAGTAGTAGCCCAAAATTACTCAAAAAGGATTAAAAGAGTCGTTCACATGCTCAACCCCAACTCAGATTACAAAAGATAACCTAAAAATGTGAAAAGAAAGTATCTATACTAAGCCAAATTTTCTGGACAAAAATACCCCTGCGGGGATAGTGCGGTCCGCACAAAATCGAGTGCGGCCGCAGTGAGGCTTCTTGGCTTTAAACTCTGATCTCTGAACTTGGCCACCGCGGGCCGCATAAAATGCACCGCGGCCGCGGTGGCTTCTGTTGCGGTCCGCATAAAAAGGACCGCGGACCGCATTGGCAATTAGCTCCAAATCTTCAACTCTCTAAACTCCATCTTTGTGGACCGAACAATATCGAGTGGGCCGCGGTGAGTCCAGTACGGCCCGCACGAAATGCTTTGCGGGCGCACTGCTTAAGTTTCCGGAATCAGCACTCTCTGAATCTCCTCACTGCGGCCGCACCCCATTTTGTGCGGTCCGCAGTGGGTCTTGTTTCAACTGTGCTTGGACTTGTCCTTGTATTTGTGCATGTTTCACTCCTTTTTGAGCTGATTTTGACTAGTTGTCACCTTTTTTATCAAACCCTGCGAACAAGTACGACATGTAAGCCTTTGGGACT